ATTAAATCTTCAGAAATCGTCTTTTCATATCCCCTTTCAATGATATCCACATTATTGTGAAATTCTACAACTTTAAAAAAAACCTTGACATTTCTGACACAAAAAAAAATGTAACTCAAATCTCAACCCTTCTAGGCTAGTTTTTGGATAATTCAGGAATTCCATTTAACAAATTCCAGATTAGTGTTGAGGAGGACAAAGTTGAATTGAGGATATGCTTTCATGAGTCTAACCTTTTTTTTCTAATGGGACAGTAAATAAACTAACTCCAGCAGTTAAATAAATATTTGAGCTGTTACTGCTATTCCTGCAACTTACTAAGGAAACTGTCCAATCAAATCCATCTGAAGATTTATCACAGTGGAGGGAGTATTTTAGAATACTGAACATTTAATATTAGTTGCTGAAGCATTTGAGGAAGAAAAGTTGCTGACTCCATGCTTTGCAATGGATTTCTCAGAGGCATATTTTTGGACACAGTTCTAAAAACCAAAATAATTTATGCTGGGTGAGAGCTGCTGGTACAAGCAGGAGAGATTCTCAACTTGTAAATAAATTTTATACAGATGCATCTTTTTCAGGATTTCCATGATTGTGGTTGGTTCGGCACACTTGTTTGCTTCTCAAGAGAAAAAAAAGTAAAAGAAGCCATTTTCCAAAGCAGTCATGCAAGCTGAAAAATTGGCTGCTGTAACAAGATAGGAATGTCACACATATTTGCATCACAAAACAAATCTTTTGAAGGCTCCATGCACCCCAAATATATGATAACTGAATTCCTTGCAGACTAAGATATTGATGAAGTTTTTAAAAACCCTTTGATCTGCTCCCCTTCTTTTAATAGTCTTCCAATCTGGAACCAGAGAAACCCATCTCCACCCATAAAATATAATGTTTCCTTAAAGGCAAGTGATCACCCACAGGCAGGAATCTAATGCTGGAACCAATCAACGTTTAAAAGGCTTGGGAATTTAGCACTTCTGCCTGGCTAGGAAGATCTTTCCTGATAAAGGAAATAAAATATTTCCTACTTTCCTCTAATCTTTTTTCCCCTCCCACTCATAAAACCAAATATTACATTTGCATATCTTTCACCAAAGGCTTGGAATCCTATAAAAATCTTGCCAGCATGCCAGTTTGGTGTCAGCTTCCCTCAAAAACTTTGTATTGTTTTGGGAATAATAATAATAAACCCCCTTTCCAAAAACAGCCAGCTTCCGCATCTTGATTGCTTTGGGGCTTGAAAGAAACCCAGGGAAATTCTCCCAACAATATGTAAAACATCTTCTTTTGTTGCTATGATGATTTTAATCAATATGATTTATTCCTGGCTGACTTTCTATGAATATGATCCCAGAAAAATATATGGTGGAGGTAACCATATGGCAACATGGTGCAACAAAATGCTTTGGAGCAGGCTTCAGTATGCTATTAGGGATTTATTTACTCGCATAGTTATTTCACTACAATGATGCCCTCAACTCTATGAGCCCAGAAAAAAAAGCAGCTTGTTAAAGGAGGTATTAACTCTTCGGTACTCTCTAAGCTTGGTTGTTTTCTTGCTAGCACTGATGATGTTACCTAGTTTGGGTAGTGAAACATCTGCAAGAAAACAATCAAGCTCAGAGAGCATCAAGGCCCCCTCACTAACAAGTAAGATGTGTGTATTCATAAAACTCCAAAGCGGCTTCTCTATTTTGTAACTGAAGTGCTTCACACCCCTACCTCCAGGGAATACTTGTGCCCTAGGCCAGACTCAGAATCTGAATCTCAGAAAACATACCAGAAGAAAACAATGGCAAACCACTTCTGCATTCTTACCAAGAACTGTCTATCAAATTACCAGGAGTTTAGTTCAGCTCAAAGGGCACTTACTTGCTGCTCTGACATTTCATCGTTAACTTACATTACTTAATAGGACATACTTGTTAAATGAACTGGAGTTTAGGAAAATATTATGGATGTGTGCATTGAATTTGGCTAAACTCCGGACTACAAAGAAAAACAATAATTCACATCAAAATGTTGGTGCACTAAAGTGGAAAAGATCAGTCTGAATTCTGGTTTTCATTAAATTTTGACAGTGATTGTACCTCCACAGCATTGCAATGCTTTTGTGATTTACATAAAGACCATGGTGGATTGGAAAGACAAGGGATCACAGCACACATCAGGAGAAGTGACATGAAAGAGCAAGATATACAAAAGCTAGCTTCTTTGTCAAATTATTTAATATTTTACAGAACATCATTTTTCATGGGGTTCTTTTTCAGGTTTGGGGTACTTTTGCCACAACAAATTTTAGACTTCTCTAAATTCATCATCACAGTTGAAGTAAATAATAAATGGAATCCTCCTTTCATTCTTTCCTGTTTTATACTTTAAAAATCTATTTCCAAAGCTTTCTTTTTTAGCCATATATCTGTACATATTGTATATTCACCATGATGTAGCAAGAGCAATGCTAGGATTAATTTCCATTCTAAGTCACCAGTATTCAGCCTGGGCAATAGCCCCAGCATGCTAAATGAAGCATAATATTCACTGTTTAGCACGATTCAAGGTCATGGCATAAGGTTAACAACAGTAGAACCTGACTAGCAACTTTTCTCTATATCTCAAAATCACTCCAAGTCTAGTAGTTAGTAGTAGTTTTCCCTCCAATGTCACCTGGTATATAACAATAGGAAAGAATTCTGATGGATACCAGACACTGTACTTCTAGGGAGAACCAGAAATGATCATTTAATTTGCAACTAAAAGAAATAATGAGGTTCCCACACAGACTATAAGCAATAGATTGGGTTAATGGTCACCAAAATATATTGGGTTCTATTCAATGGTAGCAGCTACTTCTATGAATCATTGCCCCCCTTTCTAGAGATACACCTAGAATGATGATCGAAGTACATGCTGTCCCTATGGACCTCTTTTCCAAAGTGGCATCAAATACTTTACTGTAAATTATTTGGGGGTGGGAAAAGAACAGGAAAAATTCCATACTCAAAACTCTTCCCCACCCTTCACACATTAATTTGCTACAGTAAAATCAAGCTTGCTATAAAAGGATATTAAATTCAATAATAAGGGATTGTGAACTGTTAGGTTTGTAGAAACAGGAGCCACATACTGGCCACATATTTAACAGCTTCTACTGGAAGTTAAAATGAATAAAATAGACTGAACTTTTGGTTGCCCAAAGAACTGGACATAAGTAAATCAATACTATTAAGGGACAAAAAGATGGACATCTCAGATCAACCAGATATTGAGTACAAATTTCTACAAAGCAGCTAAGAAGGAATACAGGTACCTACCTTTCTATCACTGATTGTTATAGAATCAGGGGTGGGATTCTACCAGTTCGCACCTATTCACTAGAACCGGTTGTTAACATTCTAAGAAGTTCAGAAAACCGGTTGTTAGAAGAAATTACTGGCCTAATCCTGTAAGGAAGGCAGGAAGGAAACATTCTGGTGTTGCTTACAGAAACTGCCTCTCTGTTAACCCTTATTACATTCTTGGCAGGACTAGACTTCCTGTCTCAGGAAATCTCTGGAGTTTTTTCCCCCTCCTTTGCTGGTACTTTGCTTGTGTGGAGTGACCATTCAAAGTTACAATGGCACTGAAAAAAGTGACTTACGACCATTTTTCACTTACGACTGTTGCAGCATCCCCACAGTTATGAGGCCAGGCGAGGAGACGTGTGCCTCGATGTGAGTGATATTGAGTTGGCCATACCCAGCCAATAACATGACCACCAAGCCATGTCCACCATCTAAGCCACGCCCACAGAACCGGTTGTTAAAATTTTTGAATCCCACCCCCTATAGAATACATTAGTTAACTGGACAAAACTGAAAAGTCTTATTTTAAGTATGCCATCAGTTTTTGATATGTTAGACATGAGGTAAATAATTTATAGTCCATGAACTGTAGACGGTCCCAAATACTTTTTAATGCAATCCTCAAGATAATACTGCTCAAAATTCTATTGACAACAGAATTCTTTCCCAATGCCTCTTAGGAAATTTAAAGAAAAGTTTTGTAAAGTAATATACTGTAAAACATGGCACTGACTGATATTATATTGCATTCCTAAACATTATTCTAGAACTACCCCTGTCACTATGAAAGCATTAAGGAGAAAACAGGTAGTACATTTAGCCAAACTAGTACAATCAATAGAACTTGGTGGGAACACCAATATCACCCAGTCACTCTTTTTCATTTGATATCACATTTTTTTGACTCAAAGTCACTAAAACACTGTTCTAAAAATATTAAAACAGCAGGGTGCTGAAGATATTGCAACAGGTCAAGTAAACAGATGCATACTGTATAATAAACTTTTAAAATGAGTTTTTAACTCATCCCATATGTCAGCTTGAGTAATTTGATGATTAGTTAGCTTTAGAAAAGTAAAAACAGAACAGTCAAACAGTAAAAAAGGAAAATAAAGTACAAAACCAAAATGCATCAAATAAAATAGGTCTTTAAAAATAACTAAATTTTAAAAAATAAAACTGATAGTGGAGTTATTTTTAAAGGTTTTTTTAAAAGCAGCTATTAATTATTTTCATTAACCATGCATCTGTACTCTTAACTCAGAATAGAGAGAGTAGTAGCTAGAAATTCCTGCCTCTCTGTGTAAACTTTATGCTGATTTCTGCAGATAAAGCTATATTTAAAAGCAAAGAGCAAGGCTAATAGATTTTTTCCACACTGTTGCCACTTTACAAACTCTATCACTTTAATACACTATTTAAATGCATTGAAGTTTAATTACCAGACTTTCTCTTATAAATTAAATCCCATTTCATTTATAAATAAACATATACTAAAATGGTAGAAATCAAGCCATTTTATCATTCTTAAGCATCTGTGAAAGTAAATTATAAGGTAACTGTTAACCCAGCAAATATTAAGTGTTTGAGATTAAAGATTGTATCAGATATATTATCTTTCATTAGTGGATGGTGAAATCTGCTGTACTTTACCTTTTGTCTTTCCCAGTGTTGTGAAGAGGGCTTGTGCCCCGGGTGAGTGCATGGAGTCAGTCTGGGAGGGTGGATGTACAAATTGAAGAAATTCTTTGACAAGTTTGTCTGTTGGCCACTATCCTGTTAGCTAGGCAGAGAGAGTTGTAGTATGAAGCTCCTTTAACTTATGTCCTCTTGCAAATGTTAAGATCAGCTCTCCTTCAGTAGGAAATGAAGCAAGATGTTATTATGCATTGGCTAGATGCCAGCAACATCACCTCTACACAGGTGGAATTTCACTGCAATAGTTAGAACACCCATTTTGAGTAATTACATAATTTTAATAAAAGTTCCCTTTCAAACTACTCTGAGGTGAAATGGGATCAGTTTATGGTATGGTTTCCTAGGTCAGAGGATGAGAAAGAGTCCAAAGATGGCAAACACTACAGAACACCTAATAAGGTTATGCTAAATCACCCCCTACCATGCTTCATCCAGAGGCTGAGTTCCTGATGAATCCTTAGGAGAACCAGAGGTGCAGAAAGTTGATTACATGGGAGTAGGTTGTTACTCATAAGTAATCCCTCTGACTGATTAACCCTGATGACAGCAATTGGTACTGAGTGATAACTTTGAAATTAGATTTGTAGAACCATCCAGTGGGACTACTAGGACACCTGGCTTTTATACTCCTGATCCTTGAACTTCTGTAGCCTCTTTCTCAAATCTCTTTAACTGAACATGCTGTGATAATTCTTGTTAACGTTATGTCCTCATAACAGGAGCTTTTTCTCATTCCAGCTGAAGAAGCTTTAATGTTTTCAGCTTCAGGTTTTAAAGGAGGGCTGTAATGAGAACAATTTAGAATATCTCATTGCTTATGCAGTTGCTCATGTAATGTATGGGATCTGACTAATTGCTATTAACCATTAGGCTGCTACAAGGCTGCCTAATGCCTTCCAGGGCTATTAAGGCTTAGGTTTCAGGAAAGACTGGACACCTGACTTCCACAGCTGCATCTACCTATGGCATACTGGAATTTTCTGAAGTGCTTTATTAGATCTCTCAGGTCTCTCTTGAGAGAGAGAGCTAATCTTCTGCTATACACATAGTTGATTGAAGCTGGGAGAAAGAGCCAGAATTGATCATTACAGATGTCAGTTCTGATACTATACCAATAAATTTTTTACTTCTAGAAACATGGGACTTTATATGGACACCTTTTGTATTGTTTATTACTTTAATGGTGGTATATGGGCCATTTTGGCAGTTCCTATGCTATTTCCATTACTTGACAACTTCTGATACTATCAGCCATAGCAATTCACTGCCAGCACTGCAGTTCCTTTTGTGGTGTCCTTACTGTATTATCAATTGTTCCCTATTATTTCACCTGTCTTCTGCTTGTGACCTATCAGCTGGGCTATTTTTGGACACAGATTTAACAATATGTCAGAATGACACTAGGCCCTCAGTCAGAAATAGCTAACAATTATTGTCAGTGAGCACATCTATACCTATTAATGTGATAAGATTGCTAAACATGCTACCTACCCTATGTACCTTACCTACCCTAGAAGGAGACCTATTAATATATATATTTTGTAACCAGCTGTTGAGGCTTGATGAAAAGGAAAGCAAAATTGGATCCATGTCATGCCCCTGGTGGAGACTGACTCTGAGGAAGAGGAGGAACAGCCAACAGGGAGTGGAAGTGTGGCTCCAGAGGTGGTGGAGGAGGCTGGGGAAGGGCAGAGGCTGGCTGAGCAGTCAGAGGAGGACCCAGGTCCATCCCCTATCCATCCTAGGGCACGCAGGGAGGAGAGGATCAGGGTAAAATGTGATGTATTCAGGAGAGGGCCATGATCCTCTTCATGGGTTGCAGGTGTGAGATCTGCATAAAAGGTTGGACCTGCGTGCTAACAGACGCTGGGGACTAATTAGTGTTTTATTTCTAAAGAAGGTTTATCTTGGTTGGTGTTCTTCCAACGGACTGTCTCTGGTTATCTTCCTGAAGTTGTCAATTATCTATCCTGGTCTGTTGAGGAACTTTATTCAATGCGGTTTGTTTTTGGTTTTTGCTTCATTATCGGCTCTTTGAATGTGAACTGTGTTTCTTGCCTTTGAAATGTTATTTTGAAAATAGTTTACTCCTCCACTGTGAACAATTAAACAGTGAAGCCAAGTTGAAGGCATTAAAGGACTTTTAGTTATGTTTTGGTTTTTGTTATATTTCTGAGATACTCTGGGTCATCACAATCTATCAGTTTCATTCTTTGACTTATTCTGCATTAAAATTGTAAGGGCAGTGCCACTTATTAGCCTCATGATAAGCTTCTCTAGTTGCTGACTTGATTGAGGCCTAACAGGGGACCCCCTAACAGGGATCCCCAGCCCCAGCCCACTACTGGGTCATGACCAATTTGCAAACAGGCTGCATGAGAGGCAGGCCAGCTCAACTTGTACAAGTCAAGTTGTGCATGGATGTGCTTGCCCACTGGCCTGCCACTCGCACAAGTTGAGCTGCAGGCGCATGCATGCTGGCCAGCTGCTTATGTGGCCCAGTTTGTTTCTCCCCCACCCCTGGGGCCGGGCTACCAAGGTGCAAAGCTTGGGGACCGCTGGCCTAGAAGACCAACCTTTTTGTTTTGTCACTGGTTGGATGGACTTGTCTGTTTTACTTTTTCATTGTTTTTGTTTTTACTGTTAAGCCTGTGTGGTTTAATTTCCATATCAGTCTGACATTTTTGAAATCATTTTCACGAAAATATGGATTCTGTGCATATCTATCTTAATGCCCATACTTATGGGCATTGTGCATGCCAGTTAGGTAATATTTGTATTTTTTGAAAGCATTTTCTGTATGCACATTTTGATCTTATTTCCTTATTTCTTCCTTAGCAATTTGTGGAGAGTTGAAATAAAAACTCAGGTTGACTCAATTAGTAATTATATTCATATATGACTATATAGTATTGTAAGTATGTTTCTTTATTCAGAGATATGTTTATAATCAACAGGTTGCTATTCATAGCTATCATAGGTGTCTGTTAGAAGCTGTGATAATGGTAAAGTGCTATTGTGTATATCATGCATGTAACATCATTTTCCCCCTTGTAGATTCTTATAAGTACTACACAGTTGTGCAAGTGCATGTTAGAATTTATTTTAGAAAATAAAATCAGTACATCTACCCTCACTGACAAAAAGAAATAAAGCACAGAATGTACAACCAGGAATCTTTCCTCCATCCTATTCCCAAATTCAAAGTTCAAGGTGCTCCCACTAATATAAATTACAATGCCTCCAAAGCCAGTGAATATCAGGTCATTAGCATTAAAGGGAAAGGAAGAAAACCTTGCCAAACCAGTTCTACTAGTAAGGCCACTAAGACAGTATGACAGTATGAAAGTATTGTTAGTTTATCATTTATATATGCTATTGAGCTATATATTTGATTATTAAAATATCATAAAGACAAAAATAAAATAGAAATATGCCTGGTCTATGAATGGAAGATAAATATGTAAACATAACTCATGATTCAATCTGATGTTGGCAAAAACCATAGGAACAGTGATGCCCTAATAATATTACAGATTGCTAAATTGCTGTTTAGCAAAAGTCTGACCTTTTTCCTCACTAAATCTAGTGAAGGAACTGTCTGTTTTTTCTAGGGCCTTGTAAAAAATGGAATGTCTTCCTATTGGAGATAGAGGTTTTGCATTGCAAGAGATAAACTGCAGTCTATTTTCAAATTCCTTGTTTGCAAAAACACATGCATAACTAGGACTGTGTTATTGCATTTAAAAATATATATTTGGACTTCAGTGGTTTAGGGACAGATATTACTGCCAGCCCTCCCTGCCCCTGTGCAGAGTTTGGAAGATATTGTTGTTACTTTCCACTGAGATGTTTGCTTTTTATATATAAAAGTAAAAGTATAAGATACATTGAGTGAAGAGAAAGAAAAAAAGCAACAGGAAGTAAAAGGGACCTACCAAACAGTTCTATTCCATCAGATCTAGGCTAGAAGTTAACTCTGAGTGCCAAATAAGCTATATTCACTATTTAAAGCATGCTAATACATAGGAGCAAACAATGGTGCATGCTTCTGCATCAGTGCTTGACTTTTGAATGGCACACAAGGTGACTACAGTCCCCAAAATAGGGGACAAAGAACCAGATAGCCAGGACCAGAGGGGGGAAAAGGATAATTGGTTAAATTAAAATTAAATCAAATTAAGCTATTATAATTATTCCTCTTCTGTCAGACTAACATTTCAAATTGGTTTGCAGAGATTTGAGAGGCTGTATTTATGGCTTCCACTGTTTATAGGCAATCCTAGTTCTTCAGGTTGTCTTGAAGATAGCCACAAGTATTCTCAGCTATCCTTGAATAAAGATGCAGGTTTCAGCTCATTCCAGTCCCCAAACAACTTTTTATTTTTTACACTTCTGTCAGAAGCACCAAGGCGTTTCTGGGTTAAAAGGATTAGCCAGCGACATCACTGTTGCCTGGAGGCATCCACTTGGTGGCTCCCTTCATGTCCGTGGCAGGAGCTGGAGCAAAGGACAAGCACCTGCCCTGCCGCATGGCAGCACTCAGTTCTCGAATGTGAGCACTCTTAACCTCCAACCTAGCGTTCTAGCCACAAGAGCCACTGTGCTCCCAACACCAATTGTCTGTCTACATACATTAAAATCAGCAACAGGAGAATTCTCAATATAGAAAATGAGCTTGAAAAGTGACTAGAAAAGTTATGTCAAGAAGATTTACAATTGCATTTGTACTTACCAAGAAGGAAAGACACAATTCTGTAGATTACAGTACAGGTAGTCCTTGACTTACAACAATTCATTTAGTGACAGTTCAAAATTACAATAGCACTGGAAAAAAATGACCTGTGATCATTTTTCACAGTTACGACCTTTGCAGCATCTACCATGATCATGTGATCAAAATTCAGATGCTTGACAAGCAAAATCAATGGAGAAGCTGGATTTAGTTAACAACTGTAGCAAGAAAAGTCGTAAAATGGGGCAAAACTCACTTAACAAATGTCTCACTTAACACCAGAAATTTTGGGCTCAATTGTGGTGATAGGTCGAGGACTATCTGTATGGATTGAAATCTATACTGGTGCAGTTTTGCTGTTATAATAGCCAAAGGAGCAGAGAGAAGAGAGGAATAGAAGACAAACTATAAGTTTATAAGCAAAATGCAGAGAGTCCTGCTGGGGAGTCCTGCTGTTCAAATAAATGGACATGAAATCCAACAAATTGTGGGATATTTTGAGACAAAGTTTTCACTATCTTCCTGGCTGCCTTATTCATATCATATTGTCAGATCTAGGTGTCATTACAGATAGTCTTTGCTTACTGATTGACTAGTTTAGCCACCATTGAAACTTGCAGCAGAACTGAAAAAAATAGATCGAGGACCGGTCTTCAAACTTGCAGTCATCGCAGCACCCCCATTGTCACGATTCACCCACATGGCAACTGGCATGCATGTACTACAATTGCGGTCACATGATCGTTATTTGCAACTTTCACAGCCAGCTTTTGATAAGCAAAGTCAATGGGAAGCCAGCAGGAAGTCGCAAACTGCAATCATGTGAGACCGCACTTATCCCTGGGGCACTGGTGATTTTCTTAATGACCACAGCGAAACTGATGTCACAAATCAGGGACAATCATAGGTTGCTTCACTTAACAAATGCACCCATTAGTGACATAGTTGCTGGTCCCAATTGTGCTTACTAAGTGAGGACTTGTTTTCCATTTGTTACACTGCTGAACTGCCTATAACTTTTGATCCTTTTTAAAAAAATGAAAATTCTGCAGCAATATATTTTGATGTCTAATACTGGAAACAGCATTAAACTGCAGAGTAGAACATAACTCTTTTGAAACCTAAAACTATTTTATTCAATTAAACTATTTTATTCAATGTAGTCTCTTCCCCAAACCCCAAAAACTTTAACCTTAGACTGTCTACTATTGACCTCACCCCTTTCCTAAGAGGTCTGTAGGGGGCGTGCATAAGCGCACCAACGTGCCTACCGTCCCTGTCCTATTGTTTCTCTTATTCTTTTATTTTTCTTATATGTACCCATTTCATATATTCACAACTATGTATACACTTGTACTTATTATCTTGTAAACAATTGACAAATCAAATAAATAAATAAATAAATAAATTGTGGAACTCTTATCCGAAAGGGCAGTAACTCTAATCTGAATTCAAGTAGCTTAGTTCTAAGTAACTGCTCTATAATATATATTCCATGATTTTAGAATTAGTTTTCCCAGACCTACTACTTTCTTAGAACTTTCTCCAAAATACATAAATATGAAATAGAGATAAATTCAACCTTACCTGCTTACGGAGGTACTGCCAGAAGGCTGGTTTCTCTGTGTCTTTCTAAAAGCAAAATAATTCCATCTTCTAACTATTGTGCCCTGGCTGTGTCCTCCTTTCCTGGTGTTTTTGTTTTTATAAATTAGTCTGAAGGTCAGAAGAACATGAGGAGTGGCTTATGCTGGGACGTAAATTATTACCCTGGCATTGCCTCTGAAGGGGATGAAAATTGAAGATAATGGTGATGGCAGAGGATAGTTGTTCTCACTGGAAGATTAGAAGCCAACTCAGCTTTCCTGGGAAAATGAAAAATATTTAAGTAAGGTTTGCTTTCTGAAAGCAATTCATATCTGAAACTGAGCTATTAAGATATGTGCTTCTTTTTAAATACCACAGAATGGCAATCTAGAACAATGTTTTTCAATCTTAGCAACTTTCAGATGTGTGGACTTCAACTCCCAGAATTCCCTGGCCTGGAATTGAAATCCACACAATTGAAAGTTGCTAAGTTTGAGAAATACTGGTCTAATGAGTCTGAATACAGGGAAGTTCCAATTAGTGCAATTAATCCCCTGAAATGGTCACATTATTTAATATGTACTATAGGTTTTGAGACAGTGATTGATACGAAGGCTGTACTATGCCACACTACAAGCAGAAATACAATATTACTGTTTTGACAAGAAATGATAAATCATGCATGATAAACTAGCTTTATAATGTGTTGACAGGTTTTCTGGCTGTTTAACCTTTGATAAAATTGAGTTCTGGTAAAAAAGAAAAACATTTTTTGCCTCAAGTAAAGATAGGTAACTACTGCTTATACAATATCTAGAAAGACTTACATCTTGAAGAAATTTGGCAGCATTCTGTACTTCAACCAGCAGGTTCTGACCAGAACTGGTAGAGGAAATTTTGAGTAGTTTGGAGCAGGGGTCGCCAACCTTTTGGACCTTAGGGACCACCAAACTCATAATTTTAGATCTCAGGGACCACTAACTGGTTCTGTGGGTGTGGCCTAATTTGTGGGTGTGGCTTGGTGGTCATGTGACTGGCTGGGCATGGCTTGTATGTAAATATTATAAATATTTATATAAATATTGAATTTTTTATATAAAAAAAGAGCAACTTTTACCCAAAATCAGGCAAAGCAGGCAGGCAGATTGAGTTGCTCACAGAATCAAAGATTCATTCAGAAATCTATCTATCTGCCATTGGCTAGCTCAGTCTGTCACATAAAATTTGCTTGCAAGCAAACTCACAAAATTAACTCACACCACACCATGCATGTATATACTGAATTTTTTATTTTAAAAAAGAGCAACTTTTACCCAAAATCAGCAAAGCAGGCAGATTGAGTTGCTCAGAATCATTCAGTGATCTATCTATTTGCCATTGGCTAGCTCAGTCTCTCAAATTTGCTTGCCATGAGTCTGCACTGAATTTGCTTGCAAGCAAACCTTCAGTCTTAAGGGAGGTTTGGTTGTACTTACAAGAAAGCAAGAAATCCAACCATTTCCTGCTTCCTAGCTAATCTAAATCTCCCGGCACAGCAGAACAGATAACGTTTGGAAAAAGGAAAAATAGCAATTTAGCAGACAAGTTTACCAGGTAGTGAGTAGGCGGGGAGGTTTCCCGCGGGCCATGTGGGTGGCATAGCCTTGTGTTTCTGCGCAGCCTGGATTAATTGCTTTGTGGGGGTGCTCTGGGGGTGAGATTTCTCTGCAGCCTACCAAAATTTTCTCACGGCCCACCAGTTGGCGACCGCTTGTTTGGAGAACTGGGAAATACCACCTCTGACTGGAGATTTTACAGTATTGTTCCCCTGCCACGCCCACCAATCCACACCCACAGAACTGGTACTAAAATAATTTGAATCCCACCACTGAGTTCAATGTTCTAATCTAATGGCTTAACTAAAACAGAACAATAGAGGGGATTTTTGAATAGAACAGAAATGTCAAGTCCACGAATGAATTTGCAAATACTAGTAAAAAGTTATCTGCATTTTATTGTCATTTGCTCTTCTTTCGATTTATATTGACTGTTTCCTAGCATGATTTGATTGCTTATTGTACCCTATGACAATTATTAAGTGTTGTACCTGATGATTCTTGACTCTTGACAAATGTATCTTTTCTTTTATGTACACTGAAAGCATTTGCACCAAGACGAATTCTTTGTGTGTCCACACTTGGCCAATAAAGAATTCAATTCAATTCTATTATATTTTTTCAATTCCTTACTTGCAAAATATACTATACAAGGTGTACAACACATACTTGTAAGACTTGAGGCAAGTGAAGTCAGCAGTTCCAGGCCAGATACGACTATTACACAAACATGTAACAATTATTTATTCTGGAAATCACAAAGAAACATTTTGTCATGTACTATATCCATTAATTTGGAAGAGAGGAAGGAAGAAGCCTCATAATTTAAACCTTTGCACTAGCAATGGACATTCCACTGTTCTATATGACTTCATTCTTATAGGCAGTAAAAATCTAGCAAAATACTGAAGAAATTTTTTAACCAAATGAAATCAAGAAATCAAGCTAAGGTATCATGTGGCAGATTCATGATTTAGTACCAAACTTAGATCAGGAAGCCTGACAGTATCTTATGGGGATTGTCTGGTAAATCATGTGCAAATATGGTTCCAATTCACTTTCTACTATGAGGTATGTGTGTGTATGTGTGTGTGTGTACATGCTCGTGGGAGCATAAAATCAATGTTAGACGTAAACTTCTAACTTCTTTTTAACTTTATATACAGTATGTTATCAGCATGTCAAATCACAAGTAATGGGAGATGAATTATTAACACAAATAAGCCCTGAGAACTTCATCTGGATCAGAATGTTGTAAGTTAAAAGTGAATGTGACTGGGGGCAGATTATATGTTATGCTCTAACATTGCATATGAAAATAAGTGCAAATGAAACTGAAACATGTTATCATTTTTTATTTTCAGGTCTAACTCCACCTAGTACTTATAATATACATTTCTGCGATAGCATTTTATGACCACAAATAGTCCTTGGATTAAGGCCACATCATTTCAAATCATATGATGATCAGATATCACATTAATATTATTTGGTCATCCCTAGTTTAATAATAATTTCAAGAAGTAAAGTGGTGTGTTTTTATTGGCAGAAGGCCTGTAGCATATTACCTATTAACAACTTGTTTAAATTTGATCAGAATCTTCCTAATCCAGAAATGAAAAACCTGTGGCCCTTCAGTTATAACAGAATTATATTCAGCATTCTTGAATATTAACTTTGCTGAGTTGAACTACTAGGAATTCAGCCACATTTTGGAAGTAATAAATGTTTTCAGTAGCTGGAAGTATAATTGATTTTCAGGCAGTCATTGACATTAATTCTTCCAATATTACTGCTATAGATTGTAAGTGTATCTTGAAAATGCTATCAGATATGCAGATATACTAATATCCTCAGACCCTGATTGTATAGTCTGATGGGGTCTGTCTGTCAAAACATAGACACCCACATGGTGGTATTGCCTCTGAAGAGACAAACTGCTGTCACCATTTAATTTCTGTATAAATATAATCTTTCTAACCCTCATACATTCTTGTAAAAATCACTGTATAGTAGATTAGGCTGAAATGGTAGTTGATTAAAATGGCTTCACATCTGGGCATATTTTAAAAAGTTTTCTCAATCCAAGTGCACTTATATTTGGCACTAAAGTACTGCTTGCTGAAATTCTCAAGCTGATTTTCATTCTGTAAATTATCTTCAGTGAAACCAATGAAGGCTTAGTTTGAACCAAGGGCAGAACAAGTTTATTGTGCATGAGTGGTCCAGCCTTGGATTTATTTTCATTTCTAGATTATAGTTCCAAAAAGAAAAAGCAAACAACGTAACAAAAGAATAGTACAGAAATAAGCCTTGTTTCGAAAAACATAGAGCATGTGAAAAAGAGAGGGTATTCTAAAACTGTCAAATTTATGTACTTTAATGTGTTAAATGATCAAACTTTGGGATTGCCACAAGTTTTCAAATGCATAGTAGTCAACGTTAAATGTTCAAGGATTTCACTTTGAGTGTATGCAAAGATTCATACACAATAAGAAAGTTTAAGAAAAAAAAGAGTATCTTATATTCTCCTCTATGCTGCATCGAGAGCCCAGGATAGGTTGACTCCTTCCTATGATGTCATTTAGCTGAGTCTGTACTAAGATATAAAAGCCAGCCCCCAGGAGAGACCCCAGCTTTTGACTCAGCTCCTTTCAGTCAGTAGCTGTGTCTCTGAAAGCATTCTGTTAGATAGCACTCACCAGCGATCTTCAGTACTTTTTCCTCGCTTAAAGCAGCTCCCAGGGATCTGGGCAGCTGCTCTTCCAGGAGAACAGGGCTCTCTCTCCTGCAACGTTGGGAGCAGCGTTACCAGAGCTCTGTGCAGGCAAGCTGGGCAGCGTCTGTAGGCCTCCCCCAAGCCTGCGGTTTTGAGCGATCGTAAAAATGATCAGCAAACCGATAAGAGCACAAGCTAGCTGATCGTGTGGCCAGTTGCTGCGTTTTCCCCTTGCTGACTTCGCTCGGGGCTCTGTATAGGAGCGATTCTTCGATCTCGGAGCCTGTTTCCCATAGTCAGCGGCCATCTTGGATTGAAGACTTCCACCACGAGGTGAGCAGCCATTTTGTAAGCCCGGGGGCCATTTTATACCCTAAGGGGCTTAATACAAAAAATTTCTAAACAGTTTCTTTCCAACGCAAGAGCCTTTATTCTACAAATGGAGCAAGATAAGGCTCAGGCAGAGCTTTCCCCACAAGCGGAACAGTCTCTTAAGCCCAATAGGAGAAAAAGACGTAGGCAACGCACCCAATCAGTCCAGAGGGAGATGGCTGCTAAAATCAGAGCTAAGGCTCTAGCCCCTAAGAAGGCAACTCAGGCTGAATTGAGGGCAGAGAAGCGCAGACATGCAGCCCTAGAGAGGCAGTTCAACAGAACTATTCAACAGAAGGGAGTGCAACTACAGCATGTTTCAGGTGATACTCATGGGCCCCAGCCAAGCCCTCCCAGGGGAGGAGAAGTTATCTATGAGCCTTTCCATC